AACTGACGGTAGTCATCTGGGGAAGAGGAGGGCATTGATGACACCGCTGCGTCTGGGGACAACGAGGGGAACTGCTCCAGATCCACTGGTACTGTAGGAGCCGGGCTGACTGGCGTATCGTCCAGCCCCAGTTCCGGACATCTACTCAACAAAAGATGGGGCAGTGAGACAGAGGAGTCCTTCCAGGTTGAGTGAGATGGTTCTGAAGTGAATATTAGGGCCACAAATCCAATCTGGCCAAACTGGTTGCTCCTGCAGTTGTTGTGGCAACCTTCCCATCCCCAGACACGGGTGCTGGAAACTGCCGAAACAGCACCACAAAGTCCTTAATCCTATAAAAATGACCATGAACACTAAAATTACTACAAAAAAGAATAAAAAGTTTTCCTAGAAAGTTTGGAAATTGCATCACCAACAATGAGAGAAAAGCAGAAGCTCCAGCTCGGATCAAGCAATGGTGAGAAGGAACTCAAGACGCGGTTGGTCTGCCCCGCCCTTTATCACCTTGGGCGAAACCATGAGGCAGTGCAAGGGCGCAGGCGTGGACCATCAGACACTCCAGCTCCAAGTGCATGTGCATAACCCTCAGTGGAATACAATAGGGACCATCACGTGAAGGAGAACCTGAGAAGACCCTTTCTACAAGCTTACATAGGGGTGGTCGCAGTATCACCAGAGTGCAAGGGTATTAGAGTAAGCCTTTCAACTACAAAATAATTTAATTTTAGAAAGGGAAGGTTGAGATTTAAAATCAATCCAAAAGGTAGAAAGTCAGATACATTAGACATCATGGGTGAAATCTGGTTCCACTGAAGTTGATGGCAAAACTCCCACTGTCTTCAACAGAATCCAAAATTTCATCCCAAAATGGATTAATGAGGCTAAATAAAAGTATTTCCTTATGCTTATGTATTGGAGGTTTGATTCCTATCAGCGTTCACGTCGCACTCTCTGGCAGTAGCCGGCCCCAAGCCAGGGAAGCTATTGATCCAACCAGTGGACCAAATTCAGTGATGAATCCTGGTGAAAAATGTAAGCTCTTTTAGATCAGAGGTTCTAAGTGTGCGCTGGGGGATGCTGTGTGCTGGGGGATGCTGAATATATTCCGGGGAAGGGAGGGCAGGAGAAAAGCTTTAGGGGGAAAGGGGAAAAAGGAAAAAAACCCAAAACCTTACTGTGCACATTTTACCCACAGCAACGGATAAGTAGCAAAGCGGATTCCTCCAGACATATCAAGTCCTCAGATGGCATGGTGTATTTGACTCTAGATGGCACCATGTATTTTGATGGATTTCTGTTACGCCTGCATAGCATTATACAAAGGCACTGCCATCTATACGTTAATCAGTTGGCTACAATGTGGTGTGCACATTTAATTGAAGATAGAAGGGGATCAATAGCTGTCTCAAGCATCCAATCCAGGATGGATTTGCTCTGCTCCAAAAAGCACTATTACTCTAGTAACAACAGTGTGATGCAAGTAAGCAGTATCTCACTTAAAATTTACAGAACTGTATAACTGAATGGCTCTGTTTGAATCAATTGCCTATAAAGAAGTTAGATACGAGCTACAAAGAGCTCCAACTTAGTGATGGGGGGGTGGGATAATAGGAAAGAGGTTTACAAAAGAAAAACAATACCAGGAAGTACCTTCTAAGCCAGCACAAGTAAATGAATCATAAGAGTGATCACTCTTTTTCATAAGAAAAACGTCTATAAACGTAAAAAATAGCACCAATAGAAGAGAGACATGCTAACAACATTTTGTTTCTCACCGGGAACTACTGCAGTAAGGCGCAAAAGAGAAGTTAGAAAAAGAATTACCTTACATATAGGGAATCTAATTGTGATAGCTGGCACCTCCAGAAGTAATGTGTTGTTAGCGTGACCAGCAGCAAAGAGATCAGAAAAGGGAAAACAGGTGAAAAGATAAATAAGTAAAGAATAAAAACAAGACCCAACACAATGGAAAACTAGAGCAGCCACTGGCAGTACAAACAATTATAAAAAGGAGATGGCACTCATTACAATTATTGTACTATTTAAAAGGACCAGATATTTCATAGTATTGTTGTAGTGATTTCATATATGGGAGACAATGAAAAACTTGGAAGTAAAATACTAATATTGAAGAAAAACCCTGTACTAGCCTGTGTTCCAAGTTTAAGTTACAAGCCACCTCAAAAACTCTGTTCAGCTATATTTACATATTTAGAATATCATATTTTACTGTCAATTTCTTTTCTAAAGGATTTGTGCAATATAGGTTAAAATGTACCAATATTTCACAATATCATTGCTTGCATTTCTTTCGGCCATATTCTAATTTAGTATAATTAGAAATGTGAACTCATTACATCTTATGCAGGAGCACACACCAGTAAGGTGCCTTTCAGCATAACCTCCTAATTGAAAAGCAGAATCAAACAAACAACACTTCTTCATGAAACAAATTTGCTGTCACCAACCTGAAATCTCCTTTATTGTTGACAACCCGCTCTGGAAGGCAATACTGTGCAGAGCTCTCTAACACCACAATGTCTACAGTTCTTGTATTATTCCCACGTCTGGTTTGCACATGACAACCCCAGTTGCCAGTGGATCCAGCTTGAATATTTGAGATAGTCAAGGCACTATGAAGACAAAAAAAATTATTATTGAACTTCAGCAAAATGTATGAAAAGCATTTATTAAAAGATGAATAGTGCTCAGAAAGACTAAAGAAGCAGCAGCTCAGTAATGTCTCTGTGAATGGCCTTACAAAAACTGGGGACCAACTACCCAGGAGCCCAAGAACTAGTAATTAACTGTGGCAAAGATCTAATAAGCAGGGCTGGCTCCAGGCACCAGCCCAATAAGCAGGTGCTTGGGACGGCCAACGGAGAGGGGCAGCACATCCGGCTCTTTGGTGGCAAGTCGGCGGCGGGTCCCTCACTCCCTCTCGGAGCGAAGGACCAGCCGCCGAAGACTGAAGTGGCTGCGGTAGAGCAGATCGCGATTTTTTTTTTTTGCTCCTTGGGGCGGCAAAAACCCTGCAGCCGGCCCTGCTAATAAGTCATGTAACTCCCTACGAAAGCAGAACTGTTTGCTATAGTTACAGACAGGCAAACTGATTTTTAAGTTAGTTGGAAGCCATACAAAAATTCAAAACGAAAATTTTGGTTTGAGTCGATCTGAATACAAAAATTGCAAAAAAATGTAGTGAGTTGAAAATATCTGTTTTGGGTCTAACAAACAGACTGAGGAGAAGGGGAGGTGGTAGTCTCATAAAAGATGGTTACTTACCTGTATTGTAACTGTTGTCCCTCCAGGTGTGGGTGCAGATGTGCTTTCCACTCAGATATGTGTTCACTCAGTGCACCAAAGCCAGAGAACTTTGCCTAATGTTACTTATGGGGTAGTGCTCACTATTTAAGAGCAGAGCTATCCTGACTGCCGCGTCCTCCCCCCTGGTTCCTTTGTATCGAATGTCAAGAATAGAGACTCCAATGCAGAAGACGGAAGGTGGGTCATGGAATACACATCTGTAGTCACATCTTGAAGACCACCACTTACAATACAGGCAGGTAAGTGTCTTTTCTTCGAGGATTTGCAGAAATATATTTCCACACAGGTGACTCACAAGCAGCACTCAAGAGCTGGGAATCAAAGTCTACTTAAAAATGACCGACCTAGACACAGCAGAAATTCCATAGTGACTGGTAACAAAACAAAAAAAAGTATGCATAGAGACCAGGTAGCAGTCCTGCAAGTGTCCAAAACTGAAATATCACATGCTATCAAAATTGCTTGGGCCCTCATCAAATGCGCCCGCAGTCTCTGTGGAGGCACAATCTGAGCTACTCCATATGCTGATGTAACACAGGAAGTTTACTGGGAGTTCCTCTGAGACCTTTTCCACTCTGCTTAATCAGAACACCTTGTCCAGTTCTGGGAGAACACTTCATCCAGTTCTCTGGGATCCAAAAATTACAATTCAACTCCAGATTTTGTCACTCAGGTTCCTTTATTTGGCATACAGCAACACTATGTTTAGTTGATCAGACACAAGTATATGGGGTGGGTTTTGGGCATACCACACACCCAAAGTTACACAGAAAACCTCTTCCTTTATGTACATCTACACATTACATCGCATCAGACATTTTGGGATTGGTTTGGTTACTTTGAAGGAACCAATACCTGTGCAGCATGCCCTGAGCATGCATTGTTTACGCTCAACCTACTATTTAGTTCATCACTCCTAACTTATCTTGTCCATTGTTAATAAATGGTTCCATGGGTGTTCTCTCAGCCCTTAAATAGCCTGGGGAGGGGCTGGAGGCACAGAGCATGAGCACTGCTCTGAGGAATACTGCTAGGCAGAGATCTCTGGCTTTGATGCCCTGGGTATGAGCATATCTGAGTGGAATATACATCTGCAACCACTCAAAGAAAAAAAAAAACCACACACACATTTAGCCCAGTGTTTAGGGCAGTCAAGATGTGGGAGACGCAGACTCAATTCCCCCCGTCCCACAAGTGTAGAAGGGATTTGAACTTGCATTTCCTTTAATACAGAAGAGCGTGCCATAGGCACTGGTATATGGGAAATTCTGGTGTGGAACTCAATCTCTCCTGTTGAAGCTGTTCCAATTTGTATAAATAATTAAATGGTCACTGGAGCAGAGACTTGAACTCAGTGCCCTAACCACCAGGTTATATAGGGTCATTCACACTCTCTGGCCCAATGATTATTCACTGTCATAATGACTATGAATTGCTATTATGTAATAATGTCTGACGGGGGCATTTCTTCCAAACCTTCACTGTTGCAGTTTATATATTCACATCAAAACAAACTGAGAAGAGGCTATTTGCCACCAACTACTTTACTAAGCAATATGAACCAAGACACGTGTGTGTGGTGGGGGGGGGGGAAGGGGAGAGAAGGGTCTACACTACACAGATGTTTTTCACAAGGAATTTACCTTGCAATCAGTGAGCAATTATGAATTATGTTCTTTTCAACAAAAATACCCTGAGATTCATCAGTTTCAACGATCTTCCCATCCTGGTACCACAATACTTGCATGTCTTGATCAATATATGAAGCCATGCATTGGAAGGGCAGACTGTCTCCTTCAAAGACAACCTGACGATGAGATGGAGTCATGTAGAAAGATGGTAATTCAAGAGGAGGTTCTAGAAACCAAAAGGAACCAAAAAAAAAAAAAATCAACAAAACTTCAAATTTAAAAATATAGTTAGATACTATGCTTTACAGACCCACTCTAACAAAAAAAATCCTTAATTTTAATATTCATGAAAAGAAGAAATGTTTTTTTCTTTGGAATATAGTTTGATATAATCAGATCTCTCTCTTAGCTGGCTTTTTAAAAAAAAAGAGCTGGGAAGGATTTAAATAAACTGTATTTCATAATGACTCACATCTTCAATTGACCTCCAATGGGCTAACTATATATTTCAAAAACTGTATTCAGTCAGTTTAATTAATTACAGAAGCTGTTTGCCAGCCTAGTTCCGGGGGGGTGGGGGGGAAGGCTACAAATAAAACAATTCTGTGCATTTATATATGGTTGTTTTACAAATATTAAGCAACCTTCAAAATTACAAGTGATATATGTTAATATGTTTAAGATTTACAGATTGGTAAATTTAGGCAATTTTCTCAAGATCCCAGAGTGAACTGGTAAACAGACACCCACAGGCCCTCACTCCGAATCCCATGCTGCATGAACTTTACAATCACGGATTGATAGGAAAGTAGTATACTTGGTTTATACCGAGAGCTTAATATTCTTGATAACTCCCAGTTTTGACAACAGAATGAGAAGTAATCCTCCTAACAGTAATTTGTATGCAGTTCTCAACATATCATTCAGAGAAGTTAGTCCTGAATTACAGTAGTGAACTGTACAAAAACAGGTGGAATTTACTACAATTTTAAATACTTAAATCATGTTCTTTATGCTCTCTTTATGTAGCCCTCTCAAGTCTCACATAACCACTGGAACTATCTAGATTAGGAAAATAGGTAGTGTTGGAAAACATGCTACCTAAATGTAATACTGTCTTGATTTTACACCTATTGCAGACACAATCAAATACCTTTAAAGTGTCTTAGCTGGCCATGATCAACCTCAGCTGCACAGTCCCACTCAACTCAACTTTGAGTGTGACTGCATAGCTATGTTAGGGGAATGCAAGGGTCGTTTCTGAGCCTGATGGGCAATACTTCTAGGGGTTTCAGTGACCCATCAACTTGATTCCTCTTGTTGTTCCTCTTTAAGGATAATTTGGGGGAAGACCTAGGAATGCTAACAAACTCCTCAATATTCTTTGAAAAAACTGCTAAAGGAAGTTTCTCCTGAGGTTCCTTCTCTGTGCATCTAGCACTGAACCAGACAACTGGCCCAGCAAAGCAGCAGGTTTCTTCTGATTTTCTTCTCTTGGATTTTACTGTTTCATTTCAGGACATCTCAGATTTCTTATTTGGCTCTTTTATGGATTGACTGGTCTCCAAGAAAGATAAGGAGGGAGGTGAATAGGAGAATCAATCTCTCTCCTTTTAACAATTAGGGCTTTAGACTTGGAGGGTTTTGCATAACTCAGATCTAAGCAATCTGCCAGAAAAACCTGGGAAATGGAGGACAAACCCACCAGTTCTCTATTTTTCATGTAAGAAGTCAAGTTTAACTGCTGTTTTTGAAAGGATTGCTCCTCCAAGGGTAAGATCAGGGGCCTAGACAACAACTCTCTCTCTCTGATACCAGAAGCAGCAAGGCAGTCTTAAGACTACTGTCAATCTGTGGACCAGTTTAGTAGAAGGAATCACTATAAACACTACATAGAAGTGCCAAATTGAAGGAAAGCAGAAAAAATAAAGGATTAGCTACTCACACTAAACAAACCCAGTATGCATTAATAATTAAGTGTCATTTAGCCAGAATTCTTACCACATGTTAGAAGCTCCTGCTTAACTGATGTTACTAGTTGTGCTTGCAATGACTTGGGGTAAGCACATTTAGTTTCACGGACTGTTATATTTCTTTCCTTTAACCACTGATGCAGCCACAAAATATTACAGTCACATAGAAGATAATCAGTTTGAAATTCTCTGTAACACGCAAAAGACAGATAATCACAAGAATAAATGTAACATTCAGTTTTTTGTGTTTACCCTCTTCTTAGTTTTAGAATGCCTATCACAATTTGCTACAAATTTCCTATAAAATCATAGAAATGTAGAACTAGAAGGGACTTCAAGTAGTCATCTAATACACCCTCCTCCATGCTGAGGCAGGATTAAGTATGCCTAGACCATGGAAGTCAAAAAGTGTCAATAAAAGCAAAAGTTAAGAATATTGCACTATATTGTACTGTGTGTTTAAAAAACAGTGTCTAGATTATTATTCAGCAGTGATTTAAACTAAAGTCACTTATTTGTGCTGTAACTCACCAAATGTGAGGGTTTCATGACATGAATTGGATCCATGCCAATACTGCCTGGGCACAAACTTTTAACTAGAAGAGTTTTCCTGCTTTTCTTCCTCCTGTGGTTCCTGTTCTGAATCTAAGGAGGACACTTTGTATTTCCGTCTCTTAAATCTGCCCCTCCCTAGAGAACTGGCATCCGGAGACTCTGAAGAGACAAGAGGAAGGATTCCTGTGTCTTCAATCAAGTTTAGTCTTCTGGCATACTACAGCCTTTTTTAGGATGCCCTTTTTAATTCTGTGAGGACTTGGAGAAGAGAAGGTGCCTAATGACCATGGAGACTAGTTTTTGTACGTCCTTCCCATTTTCCATTTCTTGTTTGCCTGAATGAATGCTCACCATCAGATTCTGATGGGTTAATGGGACAATTCTTGCTGGGAGAACAGATGGGGATCTGCTAACTGAGGGGCAGCAATCTGATTCCCTGTACCTGATCTTTCTTATGCCCAGAATTAAATGCTTTTCCTGCATCTCCTGAGAGGGAAGCTTTGACTGAATCTATACAGAGGAGGCTAACACTGAAGAAAAATTACTATGCCAGATCTGGGTCATCTGGTAAATCTCAGGATTTGGCCCTCATCTGACCTCAGTGCTCTACTGAGGGCTGGCAGTAACTCAAAATCTGCTGGAGGAATCACATTCCTGCCCTAGAAGGGCAAGGAATACCCTGGAGCTGAGCTCACAGCAATCTGCTGGGGAAATCCCTAAAAAGAAGAAGGGAGGAGGGAGTTCTGTGCTGCCTGCCCCCATAAGTTCTTCTCCTGAGTCTACCTGAGTACTTTTCTGCCTCAGGCACTATTGAGGAAGGGCAATGAATGATCAGCATGGACAATGGTTGCAGCTGTGCTCCTGCATACCACTGCCCAAGGCAGGGTGTTTGTCTTATTGCATCAGACAATAGGATAGACTGAAAGATGTACCAGGGGTCCTGTGCTTCTACTGGTTTGGGTCTAGATAGATAGATATACACACACACACACACGGAGATATACCTATCTCATAGAACTGGAAGGGACCCTGAAAGGTCATCGAGTCCAGCCCCCTGCCTTCACTAGCAGGACCAAGTACTGATTTTGCCCCAGATCCCTAAGCGGCCCCCTCAAGGACTGAACTCACAATCCTGGGTTTAGCAGGCCAATGCTCAAACCACTGAGCTATCCCTCCCCCCTATAGATATACCACTCCTGGCTTGGGAGAGGGATTCCATGAAGGACCCTGCCCAAGTTGGTTTCACTGAGATGTGCATGGCTCCTAACTCACAGAAGACACAGCAATCCCCATCCAGGCATTCCACAAGTGGGGTAGAGAAAACAACATGTCTGTGTTTTCCCCTTCTTACACACTTACATCCCCAGAACCAGAAACAGCTACAGAATGCAAATTTATATCCAAAATATTTTTATTTATATATAGATATAAAATAAATGAATTATTTTGGCCATATATTTACATTCTGTAGCTGTGCTTCTGGTCCTGGGGATGTAAGTGTGTAGTACTGTACACACACACACACACACACACACACACAAGGTTTCTCAAACTTTCCTGAAGGTATGAAGGCAATGAACAACTGTCAGGTATAACTGACCATGCCCTCTCCTATCAGGGACTGACGGGTCTGGTTCTGCCTAAGTAGCTGCACACTGCTTGAGCCAAAGCCAGAGCCAGGTTTAACAAATATATGGACCTTGCAGACAAAAAAGAATTTGTAATAACTTCTTTGGCAGAGGGAGTACAGTAAACTCTGGCGCTTACATGAGCAAATTCATGGCCACAATAACAGTTTATTTGAATAATACGATCCACTTGACTGAGGTTTATTTATTTATTTAGTAGAGAAGCAAGAGTAAAAAAAAAGATCTATAATGGTATAAGGTTTAAAAACACATTAAAAACAAATTCTATGCAGTGGTCACTCAAATGTGTTGCCTGTTTCTCTCATTACAGGCTACTACTCACTACTCGTGCAACCATGGGTTTTTTTTTCCCCTCCATTAAAGGAAACCCCATTAACTTCGCTATGATTAAAATAGGCCTTTTCCACATAATTTCTGATTTTAATTGATTCATAAAATCCTCTCATTGTATGTATAACATAACACTTCCTGGTACAAAGACATCCAAATCCCCATTAAAAAGTCTGCTACAGGCAGGAAACAATAATTTATATATCTAAATATAATCTCAAAAAGGGCCCCTCAGTCTGAACTGATTTTTCATCTTTGTTAAAAATCTCTACTTCATGTGTATTTTATTATTTCACCAGTAACAGCAAACAGTGCCCAAAAGATTATGCAAACCAAGGCACAAACACTTAACATTGAAACAATATATATTCCTAACTGGGGAGTTCTGATACAAGCCTTTTGGTCTTTATTAACAGGAATTCCTAAAGACACATTTTAAATACTAATATTGATATCCAAGATGTTGTAGCAGGCTCATTAAGTTCTTAAACAGACTCATGCTCTTCAGTACAGGGACCATTTTTAATAGTACAGTGCTGAGCGTATTGTTAGAGCTCAAGAAATAAACTATGAATAATAATCAGACTTGGGAGGAGGCACTATCTGCCTTGGAATAAGGAGAGAGTTGACTTCATGACCAGTGCCAGTACCTTGAGAATCTGCAAGACTACTGATATGGCAGCCCAACCTATATAGCGGTCATAGAATATACAAACTTGTAACAGTCAGGTTGTGATGAAGTAATTCATCCACTTTCTACATACACAGTATCACAATAAGGAACTACGGACTGCTAAAGGAGCGAAGAGAAAAACAGAATGAGATTGAGACACATGCCTTTTTATATTCCACAGTCACACTTTTTGTTCTTGGAGACCTATAAACTTTTGGAGAGTATCTTTGTTCATTTGTAAAATAAGACAAAAAGGCCGACATTTTCTTTAATGCAAAATAATAATTGGCATGTGCAGGGTGGGATTTTCAAAAGTTCTCAATGATAGCCTAACTCTGATCCCACTGAGAAGAGCCAGGCAAAGACTGAGTACTTTTGAAAGTTACATCCAGAGTACTTTTCATCTTCAAACGATGTCTAACCCTTGTACCATTTCCTCATGCAAAATTCTGCACCTATATCAATCCAAGCCTACTCAGAAATATACAGTTGTAATATGTTTAACAAACAAAACAAAATCTAAATTGCCAATGTCTAATTGGGATAGCATTGAATGTGTAGATCTGTCAAAATCAAAAATATTGTTTGCTTTAATTTAGTTGCTTTGCACTCAAAAAAAGTCTACTGAAGCTCACCATGTTTACCCTTTTAAACTGGTTTTTAAAATTGCTGAAACACTTATCTAAGAATGATACAAATTAAAACTAAAATTAATATTTACTTACAAAGACTTTAGTGAGTTAAGATGATCAAGGGTTCCTTGCGTTAGTGCAGAAAACAAATTCCCTGAAAGATTTCTAGGACATAAAATGGCAATAATTAAATTGTTTTATACTTAAGAAATGCATTTGACACTAAGTTATGTAATTAAACACATTTCCTCTTTCAAAATGTGTTTTTTATTTTTTAAAAGTAACTTATGAAATGACAATCAATCATCGAAAAAGGACATGGGAGCAGTCTTTAAAACATTAGACATCACAACGTAAGCCTGATGGCCCAGCTAGAGAACCCTAACAGCCAAATGTTCCCCCATTCTTCTCTTTTATTTGAAAGTATTATGAGTTTGAGAATAAATTATTCAACTCAAATATTTCATTTTTGTTTAAAATGAGAATTATGTTGAAATATACACCAGAAAAAAAAGCATATTTAAATTTTATTTCAAAATTGCCAAATAATCAGTGTTACCAGAAAGGTAGTGCAAGAAAACAACCTGCTTAGATATACCATTAAAAAAAAAAAAAAAGAATTTCACATCATAGATTTTCTCATAGGCGGCTCATCTGGAAGTGCTGCAGAGACACCAAGGAACACATGGGGCAAAGGGAGTGTTCTGTGTCTGTGGAATACAACCTCTTTTGCCAACTTAAAAAAAAAAAACCCCAAACCTTCAATGTGTCCAAAGGACATCTCATCAAGTCCTCCGCAAGGAGAATAGTCACCTTAATGCTCTGTCATAAAGGACAAAAGTTAAGAGATAATGTAATGCTGAAATAGTCTTCTAGGGAAAATATGTATTATAGACAAGTACCCCTTTTTCTTCTTTCCTATATTTTCCAAGAATTCAAAACTAGGGGAGGCAGCAGCAGACAAGGCATGGGACTGGTTCTATTCTTTATTCTCCCATTGACTAGCTGACTGGGTGACTGTAGGCAATGCAACATAACCACTATGGCCTTAATCTAGTGAACCATTTAAGCTTGTGCTCAACTTTAAGCATTAGTAGTCCCACTGAAATAAAGAAAGGTTGAATTAAATGAGAATAATACATTCTTTCTCAAACATGTACAACAGAATTATACTTACAATCTAACAAGATTTATGAGTCCTCTAAATATATCTGCATTCAGGCAGCCTATTTTGTTGTTACTTAAGTCTCTACAAGGAGAAAGCAAAACAAATATTAATAGCTTCATTTCATCATACAATATATATACTACAAAAAAGGTACTTTAACTGAATAATGGGTCATGCTAAACATAGTCTTCATGAACAGAAAACAGAAGATGTTGGGCTAATTGACTATGTGCTGAACACTTTCAAAAGGCTTTTGTTATTTAGGCCAGGTCAACACCACAAAAGGGCTTGCGGTCATAACTATACCAGCATACACTCGTAGCATAGACACAGCTTATACTAATAAGAAGTGCTTTTGCCAATATAGTTTATACAAGTTCCCAGAGCAAAATATGTGACACTGTCAAAATGTGTTATAAATGTGTTATGCTGTTATAAAATTTTTGTCCACACTAAGGCTTTTGCCAGTACAGAAATGTCAAAAATATCACACCCCTAACTAACACTATAATACCAGCAAGTTTCTAGCATAGATCTGACCTTATTCAAATTGCAAAATGGCCCCAGTAAAGAAAATTCAGCCCTCTAGGCCCAAATTTGCATCGGAATATTTGTACATATAAATACTACTTAATGTAAGGAACACTAGATTTGGTCCCTCAACTGCTTATTTTTTAAGTCGTCAAAAGATGACTACCTAATTTAATTTCCCTTTAGACTTTTTTCCCCCCCCCCCCCAATGACAGATAAACTGCTAGAATCCATGTGAGGACTTTCACCATCGAAAGTCGTAGGAAGGCACATGCATTTTATAATCACTACAGTTTTGATTAATTACTATCAACCAGTTTCTTTCAAGATCCTCCAAATTTTATGGAGCTGGACTTTTGGCTCCTCGGGTGTTATCTATCTATCGTAAGGTTTTATGCTGGCACCCATCACTGAAGTATCACAACACCTTCCATATAAAATCAATTAGCAACATCAAGTCCCTAATGAACCTCATGGATTCTCTGGCTTTTCCCTATTTTGGAGTATAAAATGTTACATTTTTGATTGGCTGATCGATTTGTTTGCATTTTTACATAGGAAGCAGGGCAGGCAGATGGGGTTTTAGTACTGTGGGTATTCTTTTTTAAATGGTGGAAACACTTTGCCAAAGAAGAAGGTTTTACATCATTTCCTAAAGGCGATCTCTAGATTTGCCTAAACTCCTCTGGAAATTCATTCCATAGTCAGAACCCCGCAAACAAAAATGCTTTGTCTCTAGCTCTCAGGTGCTTCATTATGGTCTTTGCAATTTGCATTGTCCCAAAGACGCACAACTGTATCAGTAGTTAATAGATTTAATATAGCTGTGGCTTGGTCCATTAGTTGTTTGGAAGATAGTACCAAGCTCTTAAACTGGCAAGAGCCGATGGGCTTGAGTTCACAGCAGCCCAAACCATAGAGGTTTTCGATCAGCAGCAGCCTGTGTATTGTTTTCAAATTAAGCTTCAAATACAGTATCTCCCACTAATCCAATCTGGAGAAGATAAATACACAGAACACTGTGGGAAGGTGCTCATCACACAATGGAGGTAAAAATGGTATTTTTATATGTTATATGAACATCCAAGCCTTATGAGGAGTCAAACAGGACCCAGAGGCTTCACACCACTTCCAACAAGCTCTTCCAAACATTTCTCCCTTCCAGCCAGCATTATTTCAGTCTTGCCTGAGCTGAATTTCAGCCAGCTGCTTTTCATCCAAGACCTGATGTCTCGACAGTATTTGGACAACTTAGGGCTTGTCTATATTGGCACTTTACAGCACTGCAACTTTCTCGCTCAGATGTGTGAAAAAACACCCCCCTGAGCGCAGCAAGTTTCAGCGCTGTAAAACACCGTGCTCCCAGTGCTGGTAGCTACGCCCCTCGTGGAGGTGGTTCTTTTAGAGTGCTGGGAGAGCTCTCTCCCAGCGCTCTACTGCAACTACACAAGACACGTTAAAGCGCTGCCGTGGCAGTGCTTTATCATTGCCAGTGTAGACTAGCCCTTAGTGGTGGTGGTTGCATCAATGGAGAACAAGACATACAACTGAATCATCACCATACTGTTAACAGTTTTATAAAACAGCACTCCACGGGTGAGGACCTTTAGGGAAGAGAAGCAGTTACCAGTCACCACTCAGAGTTCTGTTGGAGATGAATGATTGGAGCCATTGTAGTGTTGTGCTGACTACTCCCACTATTTCACATGAGCAGGTTAGAGGTACCAAAGAAACAAGCTGTTAGATGAGCCAGGTAAGCATTTAATTTTTTTAAAATGCTTAAATTTTAAGCACATGCTTAAGTACTTTCCTGAGCTGAGACCTGACTGACTGATTTATTTAGTGCCTATAACATTAGCTAATTAGGAGCTACCAAGATATTTCTAGAGCATTGGTCATCACAGTACATGGATACTAAACATCACTAAAAATTCTATAACTTAAAAAATTCTATCTGCCCCACAGATTTTTGAAAATCTTTCAGAGAAAGGAATAAAAAAAAGGATGGTTCTCCTGCTGGGATCTTGTTTTCCAAGTTTCAGCCTGGGGCAAGTTTTTACAGCCTAGACATAAATCCTAGAAATATGTATAATAGGAGAGTTGGCACAACCTTAATAATGTGGCATTAACAGCACTATAACTTTCACTAAGATATTAATAACTAGGGACTTGGTATTCTTCTATGACCTTTTTAAGGAAGCCACCATGAAGTAGTTCTCTGTACTTCAGAGGGTTATTCCTGATGACATCAAAGCTTTAGATGAATATGAAGCCACTTGTGGCTCAAGACATAATACACAGGGAGAGTGATAGCGCAATTACTGACAGAAAATATCCAATAAACTGGTTATGAAAGGTTGGCAAGCCACATGTAGCTCTCCAAAGCATGATTTGACTCAGAAAAGCAGCTCTGAAAACCGTAGCAAAGTTTTGTGTGTGGTCTTTCAATGATTTCTCTATTAAATGTGCTCAATTACAGGAGATGGTGATTTTGTTTGCTTTTAAACTGCCAACCCCTCAAACTTAATCTGGAATCTGGGGGGAAAAAAATCATATAACTAAATAAGATACTTACAGTCTTTTTAGAGATGGAAGCCCCATAAAAGCACCTGGATCTATAATACTAATAAGATTGTTCTTTAGGTCCCTGTTAAAAAATTGTGTAAAAGAGAAAGGTCAAATATTAAAATTTATGGCAGAGAAACTGACTTTTTATAAAGAACTGAAAACCTTTAAATTGCAAATGAGCTTCCTTCTGACTTTTGTCAGAAAGCACAGAATACATACTTATTTTTCTAACATTTTTCAAATTTTACTCATTATCTTTGATATTTTTCCACAATAAGGGATATAAACGTTTCTTCTTTTCATTTAAATATGCCATCAATTGTATCTCTTACCATATTGTAATATATCTTTGATAGATTCCCACCCTTACATCATGATCATTAGAGTGCATATTAACCTACATTGAGCAATATGTAATGTGATTTTTCTTTTCTGCTACCTGAGTTTTACTGCTCTGTGTTGACGAACTGTGGAGCAAAGAAAATGAGACAACACCCTGTGCCCATTGAATTCAACGTCTAAGCTCCCACTGACTTCAATGGTGTAGGATTAGGGCCTTGGATCAGAACACCAGATGGAGTTAGGATGGCTGTAGACAATGGATCGTGTGATGTGTCCTGATTTGGGGACAACTTATACCTTCAAGTAAGCGGCACTGCTAGGGGTATCCACATGGCCCCACAGTATGCCCACATTTTTATGGCTGACTTAGAAAGACGCTTCCTCAGCTCTCGTCCCCTAGCGCCCCTCCTCTACTTGCGCTACATTGATGACATCTTTATCATATCGACACAGGGGAAGGAGGCCCTTGAATAATTCCACCTGGATTTCATCAATTTCCACCCCACCATCAACCTCAGCCTGGACCAGTCCACACAAGAGATCCACTTCCTGAACACTACAGTGTAAATAAGTGATGGTCACATAAACACTACCCTATACCAGAAACCTACTGACTGCTATAACTTACCTACATGCCTCCAACTTCCATCCAGGACACATCACACGATCCATTGTCTATAGCCAAGCCCCAAGATACAACCGTATTTGCTCCAATTCCTCAGACAGAGACAAATACCTACAAGATATTTATCAAGCATTTTTAAAATTACAATACACACCTGGGGAATTGAGGAAACAGATTGACAGAGCGAGACAGGTACCCAGAAGTCACCTACTACAGGACAGGCGCAACAAGGAAAATAACAGAATACTACTGGCCATCATGTACAGCCCCCAGCTAAAACCTCTCCAGCACATCATCAACAATCTACAACCTATCCTGGAAAACGATCCCTCACCCTCACAGACAGGAGGCAGGCCAGTCCAAGCTTACAGACAGCTCCCCAACCTGAAGCAAATATTCACCAGCAACTACACACCACGCCACAGAAACACTAACCCAGGAACCAATCCCTGTAACAAACCCCGTTGCCTACTCTGTCCCCATATCTACTCTAGCGACACCATCAGAGGACCCAACCACATCAGCCACACCATTAGGGGCTCATTCACTTGCATATCTACTAATGTGATATATGCCATTATGTGCCAGCAATGCCCCTCTGCCATGTACATTGGCTAAACAGGACAGACTCTACGTAAAAGAATAAATGAACACAAATAAGACATCAGGAATGGTAACATACAAAAGCCTGTAGGAGAATACTTCAATCTCCCTGGACATTCAACAACTGATTTAAAAGTAGCCGTCCTTCAACACCAACACCACCACCACCACCACCTTCAAAAACAGACTTCAAAGAGAAACTTCAAAGCTACAATACATTTGCAAACTTAACACCATTAATTTGGGCTTGAATAGAGACTGGGAGTGGCTGGCTTGCTACAAAAGCAATTTCCCCTCTCTTGGTATTGACATGTCATCAATTATTGGGAGTGGACCACATCCCCCCCCTACTGAATTGGCCTGATCAACACTGGTTCTCCACTTGTAAGATAACTCACTTCTCTTCATGTGCCAGTATATTTATGCCTGCATCTGTAATTTTCACTCCATGCATCTGAAGAAAGGGGTTTTTTACCCACGAAAGCTTATGCCCAAATAAATCTGTTAGCCTTTAGGTGCCACTGGACTCCTCGTTATTTTATGAACTCTAAGTTTGATTTGTGCTTTTGATTCTTATCTTTAATACACATTACAATTTAATTTGAGACAGAGAAATTATTTGTCTGGCCAGTATTTACATAGTTTTAGAACAAACAGACATAGCAGAAGAACTCTAAAAAATGTTTCCAACTCCTTATTCATTCAAACTCTTGGTTGCTTACCAATTTAATCTCAAAACTTCTCTTATGTTATTTCTCTGAGGTAAAATTCTGGCCCCACTGACATCAATCGGGAGTTTTCTCATTGACTCCGGTGGGGCCAGGATTTCATCCTTGAAGTCTAAATACATATCTGTATTTATTCTGATTAGTCACGGATTTGATGCATTTATTTCTAAATGTTTGCTCATCATATTAGGGATAGCAAACTGCTGCTGCAATCCAAAAAATTATAAAGCTGGGGAGAAGGGGAAATTTAAAATTCCCAGTTAGTTAAAGGTGGGGAGGGGGAGAATAGAAGTATCTCCTAAATCTACTACATTGATGAATATTCTGCCACCAGATAAAAGCGCACATCACTCAAACAAGGGGATAAAAGTCTCTACTGTCACACATGTATGCTTACATCAAGTGTAAATTTCACTACTAAACGATTCTCTGGTATCTGGAGGGGACCTTTTTGGGCAAGGAGAGCTTTGTAGCTTGGTGCTTTGAATCTAAGGTCTCATGGAAGTATAATTCCATGGAGTGTTCCTTCTCATCTCACTTATTTGGACTATCTTTCCCAGTGCAATGACTAGGAGCCCACTTTCTCTCTGAACAACAATGGGAAGATACAATAACCTAGGAGTCTGGAGGACTATACAGCCAGCTTCCCTCAAGGGTGCTGCTGAATTCGCTACTGATGCTATGATAGATATGAGAAGACTACACACTATCTTCCCATCTCCCATATCTTGCGCATGGAGAACAGGAGGCATTTATTCTTTGGATTATTTCTTAGTATTATTTTAAAACCACCTCTACATTGCTTTAGGTACATTCACAGATGCACAAAATACAAATAAATAAAACTGTAGATATGGACCATATTACCTTTTCTTCACTGTCCTATATCCACTTAAATTGAAACTCCCCCCCAATGGAAAAACCTGTGAGAACAAATCTTGGCAACTTGCCTGACAGTCTATTAATCTGGGTTATTACAGACCATTGTGGGGGGAGTGAATTCTAGAATCAAGGACTCCCAAGATACTTTCTGCAGCCCTTTCTTGTTTAAACCTGGGAAGTGAGAGTTACTCATCCTGTGCAGTAACTGAGGTTCTTTGAGATGTGCTTCCCTCTGGGTGCTCCACCTTAGGTGCGCTTGTGTCTGTGTCTAGGATTGAAGCTCGGTAGCAGTGCCTGTTGGATCGCATGTGCGCTCCTCCCCATCTCACCTCATGAGCAGCGGGTATATAGCACTTAGCAGTCCAACCACCCGCATGCAGTTCCTTCTCTACCGCAGAGTCAATGCTTCAACTCCTAAGGACGGGGGAAGAGGGCTGGTAGTGGAGCACCCACAGGGGGACACATCTTGAAGAATCTCAGTTGCTACACAGGGTGAATAACCTTCCCCTTCTTCTTCAAGTAGTCTCCCTGTGAGTGCTCCAATTTAGGTGACTGTAGAGCAGTGCCCTTAGTTAGTAGGCTGGGGCTTTGGAGTTGGATTTGTTT